ATCTCTGGAGATTTTTAAGCGGAAGCTAGACAATCATGCAGAAATGCAAGGTTTGTGTCTCAATGGCTTATCCTCATAAAACTTGAAACCACACTGTCAATGGATAAGCGTAAAAACTAAATCCCCACGACCTATTCTGCCTTCTCTCACTCTATCTTTTCCTTAGGTCACCTTTATTATTCCACTTATCTCAACCTATATTATCTACACTACAACCTTATTATTATTATTACTACTATTCTGCTTTTATGACTACACCGAATGACCAACGGGAGTTAGGTCAAACTCCATTCACGGCAGCAATACAGTCCTAACATACTGCATACTACAAACCACATCTCGACCAATCCCCGCACCACTCCTCCTGGAGTCTACCAGAGCTAAAGCAGTCGAGTGGCGGGACTTACTACGCAGAAGCTCACCGAAGATCTGGAACCTCTACCTCACAATCAAGAAGCGAGCTCAAAGAAATCACTGGTTTATACTAGCTCGTAATCAGGATATTGGATATTGTAAAAACAATATTGGATATTGTGGAACATGTTGGCTATTGGACTCAGGGTCATTAAAGTTTGTGGCTTTTTAAATTATCAGAGCTGAATAACAAAAAGTGGAATAATTGTTAATCTAATTTCATCATTTATTGTTACATTTGAATTGACTCGTGAGTATTTTTTTAAGATGTCTATGTTTTCTACAACGGCGAAACGTCAATAATAAGGAGAGGTGCAGTGAGGAAATGTATACACTGCTTAAATTAGCATAGACTAAGTTGTGTTTTCAGCACTAGGATGTGAATTGAAAATTTAAAACCTAACACTTCTTATCAAAACACGTTGTCAGCTGTTAAGACAATGGAACGACAGTCAGACACGCAAATATATATGTAAATTTTGGGAACCCAAATCTTGGAATTCTTTATCAAAAATTCAAAATGTTCTAAATAATACCGTTACATACTCTTCGGCATAACCTGGAAGCAGCAAGTACATCTAGTGTCTTACGACACACAAAAACTCTTTAATGTTAAACATCAAATATATTTTTAAAAATAGTAATCACTTCTCAGTTAGGATTTATGTAACTTCAGAATGGCATCTGTTGTTTTGAACTGAGAACACTAGATCAGTAACCCTGTTTTAAAATGGAGTTACAAATGATTTTGCAAACAGACTCTAATTTCAAAGCAAGTACAAACTTTAAGTTTCTTCACAAAATTAACTTATGAACCTCTTCTTATCGTGTGTAACAGAGCTGACACAGTCAAGAGGAAGTGTGGTAATAGTAACCACAAAGAAATCGTAATGATTACATGAGCTCGGCAACAAGATATTCTATCTTGAAAACTTGTCTCACAAAATGACAGATGACAATAACATCACTAATTATTTTGAAAATTTGTACCGCTACTGGCATAGCAATGAATCTGAAATTTTAAACTAGTGTCTTTATAACGAGTTACTGTCAGCCCTATGGATTTTTCGCATTTGTTTCTAAATGGAAACTAATAGTTCTTGACGTTTTGTGGATTTCTGAGTGACTGTAGTGCTGTAGCTCTATTAAACCCCAAAAGCAGTTAACTTTTGCTTGAAGTTAGTGGTTGATGATCAGTCCATGGCGCTGCTATAATCTTGGTCAGTCCATGTGGTCAAAGAAAAGACGCTGGTGATAGATATAATAATGAAATAAGGACGGCGGTAGCAATGATGACTACAAATACTGTCTAACTGTCTAGCTGACTGGAGATTTTGGATGGACGTTCACCACAATGACACTAAAATACGCACAGTATTTCTATGCAGTAGAAAGAGGAGATATGCATACAGTAGTTTCAGGTGGATATCAATATCTGGATCTAATGAGCATGTGTGCGAATTCATCATATATCCACTTTAAAGAGCCAAAAGTATCTGATATTGGAGTTATGCTGTTATTATGTTCAGGCAGATATCCTAATGTTTTGATAAAGTCCTTGAGGGTTTTGACATATTTTCTGAGTTTCCGCTAATTTACATATAAAAGTCATTCATTATGTTCATTTATAAATCTTGCTTCGTACTTCTAAGCATGGTTTACACACTTTCGAGTCATGACGATAATAAATATAAACTATGAAATATCAACCAACTTTATTATCACTGTATGGAAAATCAGTATGTTTACCCGATCATCAAGTAATAACCGTATTAATATGGGCATTAGATTTCCACTCATATGTTTGCTTATCCCCATCTTAGTCAGTACGCGACTGCACTCTATAAAATTGGATTTATTAAGTGTGAATTCACTAATTTCTATGACCACTAAATTACAGATGTTTGTGCGTCGGTGGCATAGCGGTTAGGACGCTCGCCGACCATGCACATGGTCCGGGCCGACGCACTTCTTTACCTCACTAAGCCAGAAATAATGTTGGTAAACAGGAAAGGTTGGGCATGAGACTAGCAACCCATCCTGTCAAATTAAACACTGCTACAGAAACTTCAAGCCACTAGCTTTAGGCCCGATGTTCCACTAGGAAACGTGAAGGAAAAAAATAAAAACAAATAAAATAATAAATTACAGATGTTTAAGGGTACTCATCATTCATCGAATGCCGGTATTCAGGCAAACGAATCCTTAAAAAAATTAGAAATTGAAAAAATTAAGTGTTTGACCGAATAGCTAAATGACTTGTTCACAGTGATATACTGTAGGGTTGGATATCCCTATTTTTCACTTAAATGGTTCTAAATATACCTAACATACACCACTGTTTGGCAGTACTTTAAAATCATTCTGTACCTAATAAGACAATTATTTGCCTGGTAAATAATTCAGACTAAATCACGGGATTATATTTTTATTAAAAACCAGGCAATACTGATAAGATTTCTATAAGTGATTCAGCACTGCATCTGAATTTCATTTATTTATGAGGAATTGTTGCGATATATAACGTAGGCTGAAATAAGTGCGGTGTATATTTGATGATTAAAGGTTTATGAACTGAAACTATCCGCGTATTACAATCACTTCTGATCAGAAAAAATATGTCATTTACTCCTTCGATTCTTGAATAATAAAAACTGTGAGCATGAGAATATTTTTGCAAAGTCTTTAATATGGATAGTATAATATTGTGATTGAAATAGTCAAATATACTTCTCTTTTCATACACGAATTTCTCTTAAGTGAATTTGAGCGAAGCAAAAACAAGAAACTGATAACTTTGCTAGCTTAATATTGTGATTCATTTATACACAATGATTGTTATTGACAGTCGTCCAGCATTTTGTTTTTCCAAAAAAATTAAAGCATATTAATATTATAATAAAGCTATGTACTTTCATTATTCAGACTTTTAGTAATCGATAATAATAGTGACAAAATTAAACGAATCAATTCTCGTCTTCACCACCAATCGTTATCGCTTTACTCAGACGTTTATCTATAAACAGTATACTGACTCAGTGATTGCCAAATTATCCCATCTACGTACATTGTATATATTGCCTTAATTAGGCACTAACTAAGATGCTTTTTTCTGATTGGGCACATGTATTCTGTTTACAGCTGACAGAAATATACACGATAACTTAAAAGAAAGGAGACTTTACGCGTCTAATGTGATTCCGATAAAGTGCATGTGAGTTAATAAGGTAGCTAAGCTGTGAAGTCACTAACTTTTATTCCATACCGAATAACTACTATTACTACTACAGCATTTGAAAGTAGAGCCACAACTTACAAGAGGAAGAGTTATATCATGAGTGATTATTTACGTTTGCTAATAAATATGTCATTTATAGTATTCACTCCCCTTGATTTGTATATCCCATTGAATACAAACTAGTGGTGAGTCAAGTTAGGAATCGGGGTGTCTACATTTTAAACTCTCTAATTTACTCTCTATACTGTGATGAGAGCTGGCTGCTAGGCAAAGTTGGTGGACAGTAATTTGCGTCAATGTTTATCTCCTTAATATTGGTTGTGAGAAAAATGAGAACAAAGTCTTTGCGTAGGCGGAGACAGTTAACATATAGATGATCTGACATTCAAGAAACAGCCACAAAGAGATGTAAGGTTAACTTTCAGTGAGAAACAACTAATCCCAAGACTATGTTTGTCTATTAACAATAATCTATATAAAATGTACATGAAAATCTATAAATATGTGTTGATTTCCTTAATAAACGTTCTGTTTGGCTGGCTCTTGTCTTCTGTTGTTACACTACTACTGACTTAACATTTGGAGTATTTTAATTTCAACCCTTTATAATCACTTTCATTTCAGACAGTCTTCTGAAATCGTTTTTAATGCAAATTGATTGAGATTTTTCAAACTAAACCTTTGATTGATTATTTTATTCTTCAGAAGAAGCTAATTTAAGTAGGCGTTCACATGAAACATATGATTAACTAAGATTTCAAATATTCACCTTGTAGGAAACAAAAAATCTACTACTACGTTGAATTCCTGGTGGAAATTTATGTGTAAGCCGTTGAGGATTGCCAAGTCATGACGAAACAGCTGTCCAGTGCCCCCTAGTTCTCGCCGATTCTTGGTTGAAAATCCCTGTATAACACTAAATCTGAGTTACTTAGTGGATGGTGACTGGCAGTGGAATCTAGGATGCGCATTTCGTCCTATTTGGGGCTCACCATCTGGATGTGCCTGCATTCCACAGTGAGTGACGGTGATCCCGCCGAGACTCGAACCCAGTGCCCAAAGTGTCAACCTGAGACCGAGCACTTTGGTCCAATCAATAGGCGGGAAAATGTGAAATTGAAGTGATTAAATTAAATCTGAGTATTCTCAATTATCTCATTTAGATGTTATTATTTTTAATATGTTGGTCCATCAATATAAATAAACAAGTGCTAATGGCTATTTAGACGGAATAGATATTGATAATCTTAGTATTCACACTAATGTTTGACAAACACTTCATCAGTATTTCTGTTTTTTTTTTGTTTGGAAAGACGTGTGTCAGTTCTTCCCCGATTGAACTGTCGATATGAATAATCGGAAGCCTATAGAGGATAAAAGTTCAGGAAAACCTTCTCCACCAAATATCACTGAAGTAACCTATATGAGTGTAGAACTTGACTGGGAGGAAGAATTGAACAGAATTCATGAAAAAATGAAACAACAATCAAAGAAATTGAATCCATTAGCTGAAGTCATTTTAAAAAAGGATTTATCCGATGAATGGGAAAATGCATATATGTAACTTTTACCCCGTTTTTTAGATGAACTCAAAACTTCTTGTTTCTTATTTTATGCCATTCTTTTAGTGGTTATGATCATCAGTGTATCTGTAAAAATTTAGATCCAGAAACATCGTATTGTTTTAAAATACGTTTTAAAAATTTAAAACAATATGAAAATTGGAGTGATACAGTACAAGTACAAACGCAGAGTAAATTATTGCAATTTCATTTTGATCATATACATCTCTTTTATTTCTAACGATTAGAACTACCTGTAACTGGACATGATTTACATACTGCATTAAAACAAAATAATGCAATTCATTTACGAGAGTTGCTGGAAAAAGAGTAAGTGATATATGATGTAATTAACTTTTTTCTATAGTTGGTTTGTAAGGATTAGTTTTATTTTACGAGTTGATGACGGATTAATACCAGTTAGAGAACCATTGAAAACCAGCACAGGAGTACTAGACGGCTGTTTTATCCTAGTTTGGGAATCATCGGCAGTACGTACCCGCCCCAGCGGGGTTTGAACACAGGACATTCCGGTTACAAGACAAGCTAGCTGGTATACCATTGAGCCACTGGGACCCCATTCGATGGCCAGCCCATTAATTCTAACTTCTTATAACTTGCTACAGGAAGGAGTTTCCTGGAGTTCTAGTGAGAAGCCGTGACTAGTGAGCTCCGTCCAGTCAGTTGTGAGGATGAATTTCCCACCAACTACATATGTTGGGGTCGCGCTAAGTCAAGAATTGGTAGAAGTTAGAATTCATGGGCTGGCCAGTGAATCGGGTCCCAGTGGCTCAATGGTATACGAGCTAGCTTACCTTGTAACAGGAAGGTCCTGGTTTCGAACCCCGCTGGGGCGGGTACGTACTGCCGATGATTCCCAAACTAAGGTGGAACAGCTGTCCAGTACTCCAATGCTGGTTTTCAATAGTTCTCTAATTGATATCGATCCGTGAACATGTAAATAACTATCAGCGTTTATTCATGAAACGGACAATTTATTTCTGTCTTTTGGTACAGTCTATTGTACTATGTTTAATAAATAAAAGGAACTGAGATAAGATACTTCTGACATACAGTTTGCAATCATATGACTAGTATATGTGTAAAACTTGGGCACTGTGGTATTAAGTAATTCCATATTAGTTTGATTATTAAATGTATCACACAGTGAAACAGTATTGTATACTGGATGACGTTTCGAACACAATTTATTGTTCATAATCATATCAATTTTTGTCACACGACTTCGAGATTTGATTTTTATAGTTTTCTCTGTCTTCTCCTATTTGTTGTATGGGCAGTAGAATTTTCCATATATCTGGGACAGGTGTTGAATCATTCCTATTACATGTATTTGCAGTTGATTCGATAAACAAAGCTTCTGTTATCAATCTCTCCCTATACCCTGTGACATTAGATTTTAAAACTGTCATCCTATCCCATCCTATTGTATGGTTGTGTGTAACTGCATGTAGTGCTATAGCTGAACTACTCTCTAGATTTCTTATCTTATTCGGGTCAACCAATCTAGATTTAGCTAGGTTTTTATGTTCGGCTAGTCTGACTGCCCCTGTTCTACTAGTTTGACCTATGTATTTGACCTCACAATCATTGCAGGGTATTAGATAAACTAAATTGTTTTGTTTTAATGGCTCTACAGGATCCTTTAACCGACAAAGCTTGTTTCTAATTGAGTTTGTGGGTTTGAATGCCACTTTTATTCCTGCCTTGTTAAGAATTCTGCGTAAGGCTTCCGAGGTTCCTTCTTTGTATGGAATTATTGTTGATGATTTACATTCCTTATTGTTGGTGTCGTTATTAATATTATTATTATTATTACTATTATTATTACCATTATTATTATTGTTATTATTATTATTGTTATCATTATTATTATTATCACTATCTCTGTTATCATTATTTATTTTATTTTTACATTTACTTACATATTTCTTGACTAATTTATCCGGGTAATTATTAAGTTTCAAGGCTTCTTTTATGTGTGTCACTTCCTGTCTTAGATTTTCCTTGGTACTACTTAGTTTTTGTGCTCTGTCATTTAAACATTTCACTAATCCTATTTTTACTGACATAGGATGGGATGATCGGAAATCCAAATATCTGTTTGAATGTGTGGGTTTTCTGTAAACACTAGTGTTTAGCTTCCCATCTTCTTTCCTTTTAACGTTGCAATCTAACATTGGAAGTTCCCCTTCCTGACTTTCCAATTCATAAGTGAATTGAATTGCCTCTACCTTCGAGTTGATGTGCTCGAAAAATCTATCTATATCTTGTGTTCTAAGTACAGTGAATGTGTCATCTACATACCTCCACCATACTTTTGGGGTGGGGGTGAACGTTTCAATCGCTATCTTTTCCCACCTATCCATGAATATATCTGCTACCACTGGGGATATTGGTGATCCCATGGCAACTCCCTCAGTTTGTTTGTATATTTTCCCTTGGAATTTAAATACTGTAGAAGTCAGGCAAAGCTGTACTCCCAGCATTATGTCCTCAATTGGCACTTTTGTCCTAAGTTCGAGTTCTTGGTCAGAAATGAGTTCGTTTCTGACCGCCTCTATAGCCATATTTATTGGTATACGTGTGTATAAACTGACAATGTCAAAACTAACCATTTTTTCTTCATTATCTAATTTTAAATTATCTAATCTGTGTTTTAGTTCATAAGAATTAGTTAGTCTAGATTTCGAGTGGATTTTTAGGGGATTTAATACCATGGCTAAATATTTAGATAATTCATAGGTAGGTGAATTTCTAAAATCAACTATAGGCCTAATAGGGTATCCTGATTTATGAATTTTAACAACACCATACATCCTACTGGAGTTATTAGTTTTTGGCATTAAATTAAACCACTTAGACTCACCTAGAAACGGCTTCATTCGGCGTATAAGGTCCACTGTGGATTTCTTAACTTTATTCATAACTGTGTCTATTGATTTATTAATTTCTTCATATGGTCCTGTTTGTATGTGAGTATTTACCTTGTCCAAATAGTCCGATTTGTCTAATACTACTGTTGCGTTCCCTTTGTCTGACTTTGTGATTACTATATCCTTGTTATTCTTGAGGTGTTTTAGGGCTTTTGTCTCTTGTTTTGTCAGGTTAGGTTTTCCACATTTTTGTCGTTTTAATGTAAGTGCACATTGTGCACGTACTTCTTCAGCTGTTGTTTTGTCTATCCCACTTAGTGCTATTTCTATTTTAGGGATGACATCCTCAGGTTTTAGCTTGTCCACCGCTACATTGAAGTTTAGTCCCTTTTCTAATACACTTATTTCCATCGGACTTAATATATGTGATGAGAGATTGATAACCCACTTTGATTTATCGATCGCCGTTGATTTTGGATTGTTGACTTCATTATTCTGAGATGAAGATTTCTCCTCTAATAATTTGTTGAACTTTTTGATTTGACTATTTTTTGACTTTTTGAAAGTGGCTGATTTTGCATGTAATAGGAATGATTCAACACCTGTCCCAGATATATGGAAAATTCTACTGCCCATACAACAAATAGGAGAAGACAGAGAAAACTATAAAAATCAAATCTCGAAGTCGTGTGACAAAAATTGATATGATTATGAACAATAAATTGTGTTCGAAACGTCATCCAGTATACAATACTGTTTCACTGTGTGATACATTTAATAATCAAACTAATATGGAATTACTTAATACCACAGTGCCCAAGTTTTACACATATATTAACATGACTTATGGTCTTCCTGTACGAAGACTTATCAATAAACTCACTCGACTTTCACAAACTGAAGCAAGATATGAAAATCACCGTATTTTTAACATTCGATGCTTAAAAAATGAAATCATTCCTAAATATCTACGTCTACGAGCTCCAGTTCCAACAGACAGAGTTAGAAGCAGAATAGAAAGTCTACAAAAATTATGCCTCAAAGAAGAGATCCACAGAATCGTTAAAAAATTACAACATATCAGATGTGAAATTGAGCAATTAAAACAAAAGCTAAAAGAAATAGTTACCAATGTAGATTATGATCGTATAACACAATCCTCCAACAATGCAAAATCAGCCACTTTCAAAAAGTCAAAAAATAGTCAAATCAAAAAGTTCAACAAATTATTAGAGGAGAAATCTTCATCTCAGAATAATGAAGTCAACAATCCAAAATCAACGGCGATCGATAAATCAAAGTGGGTTATCAATCTCTCATCACATATATTAAGTCCGATGGAAATAAGTGTATTAGAAAAGGGACTAAACTTCAATGTAGCGGTGGACAAGCTAAAACCTGAGGATGTCATCCCTAAAATAGAAATAGCACTAAGTGGGATAGACAAAACAACAGCTGAAGAAGTACGTGCACAATGTGCACTTACATTAAAACGACAAAAATGTGGAAAACCTAACCTGACAAAACAAGAGACAAAAGCCCTAAAACACCTCAAGAATAACAAGGATATAGTAATCACAAAGTCAGACAAAGGGAACGCAACAGTAGTATTAGACAAATCGGACTATTTGGACAAGGTAAATACTCACATACAAACAGGACCATATGAGGAAATTAATAAATCAATAGACACAGTTATGAATAAAGTTAAGAAATCCACAGCGGACCTTATACGCCGAATGAAGCCGTTTCTAGGTGAGTCTAAGTGGTTTAATTTAATGCCAAAAACTAATAACCCCAGTAGGATGTATGGTGTTGTTAAAATTCATAAATCAGGATACCCTATTAGGCCTATAGTTGATTTTAGAAATTCACCTACCTATGAATTATCTAAATATTTAGCCATGGTATTAAATCCCCTAAAAATCCACTCGAAATCTAGACTAACTAATTCTTATGAACTAAAACACAGATTAGATAATTTAAAATTAGATAATGAAGAAAAAATGGTTAGTTTTGACATTGTCAGTTTATATACACGTATACCAATAAATATGGCTATAGAGGCGGTCAGAAACGAACTCATTTCTGACCAAGAACTCGAACTTAGGACAAAAGTGCCAATTGAGGACATAATGCTGGGAGTACAGCTTTGCCTGACTTCTACAGTATTTAAATTCCAAGGGAAAATATACAAACAAACTGAGGGAGTTGCCATGGGATCACCAATATCCCCAGTGGTAGCAGATATATTCATGGATAGGTGGGAAAAGATAGCGATTGAAACGTTCACCCCCACCCCAAAAGTATGGTGGAGGTATGTAGATGACACATTCACTGTACTTAGAACACAAGATATAGATAGATTTTTCGAGCACATCAACTCGAAGGTAGAGGCAATTCAATTCACTTATGAATTGGAAAGTCAGGAAG